TTCCTTCCTTCCTTCCTTCCTTCCTTCCTTCCTTCCTTCCTTCCTTCCTTCCTTCCTTCCTTCCTTCCTTCCTTTCTTGCTTGATAATCCAATTTTGGCCACAAGTTCATCTATTCTACAGGTATTCCTCATTTAGCTATGACAATTAGGACTGGCAAGCAATCACTAAGTGAAACTGACCATGTTTATGACCTTACTTCAGCTTTTCTTTGCTTTACTGACTTGCAAAGGTTATAAATGTGAGGAATAGTTGTAAAAATTTTCTCATTGTTGTAACTATGAACAGCTGGTGAATGAAACATCACCAAACGATAATAACTGGTGCTCTCAAAGTTTGCTATTAGAAAGAGTGTCTAATTTGATTATAAACAGTTTGAGAATATAAGAATAATGACAATTTAGGCGTCATGCACAAGTACGGTACCATGATGGATTTTAGATGATGATGTGCCATATGGAAATTCACTGTGGTTACTATTAAATGTAATTTAGAAAATAGTCTTGCAGTCCTTTATGAAATGAAGAATGGAGTATGGTCTTGGGCTATGCTTCGTTTCTCTTTTGTACCTTTTAAAATGCTTTTCATTTTGCTGACTTAAGCTTAGGCTTCAAGTATTAACCTCTTGTACTTTACTCATTCTGCACAGTCTTGTTCTGGAGTTGAGCAGATTAGAATTAGGATAAGTAAAGATGTAATCTATAAAATTAATGTTCCATATTTTGAAACGAATACTTAGAACTGCTAGTGCAGGGATGGCGAACCTTTTGGTTGTGGTGTGCCAAAAGTGCTCACACATGTGCCCCGCTCTGCACATGTGTGCGTAATACCCCCCCCGTGCCCCCTTACCTGCACTGCACATGCGTGTGCCTCCCAGCTGATTTTCAGCCCGTTTGAGGCCGTTTTCTACCTCCCCGAGGCTCAAGGGAAGCCTCTGCAGCCTCGGGAGGCCAAAATACCAGAAGTGCTGAAATGGGCCCGTTTTTCGGCCTCCAAAGGCTGCAGAGGCTTCCTTCGAGCCTCGGGGAGGGCGAAAACGGCTTCAAACCGGGCCAAAAATCATCTGGGAGGTGCACGCATGCGCAATGCAGGTAAGTTTGGCTGGGGCTTGCATGCCTGCACAAATGGCTGCGCGTGCCACCTGTGGCACGCATGCCATAGGTATGATTACCCGTAGTCTCTCAAAATAATCCCAAACCCAAAACATACATTAAAGTCCGGTAAGGCCTTCAACTTAACTTCGCCGTTTTATTAGTCACAGTTTAAAGTCACAAAAGTAAATAATGAGGCAAAAAGAAAACCAAACAAACCGCATTGACGAACAAAGCTGGAGGTGGTATCCTGTGATCCCAAATAAAGAATGATCGATTGGTAGGGGCGGGTAATTTTCCTGCAGACTTTTGGGGGGATTTTCCCAGGGTTTCTGATCTGAGGGATTTAAAACGATGAGTATGGTAGTCCCTGAGGTCCAAAATGTTGGCAACCCCTGTTCTAGTCTAATCGTCTGTTTGAGAAGGAGAGCCTATACCATTTTGGACAAATGGTTGTCCAGTCTAATCTTGAAAACCTCCAGTGATGGAGCAGCCACTATTTCTGGAGGCAAGCTATCCCACTGATCAACTGTTCTCACCGTTAGGAAATTTCTCCTTAGTTCTAGGTTGGATTTCTCTTTTAATAATCTTCCACCAGTTACTCTTTCTTCTGCTCTCAGGACCTTTAGAGCAGGGGTCGCCAACCTTTTGGACCTCAGGGACCACCAAACTCATCATTTTAGATCCCAGGGACCACTAACTGGTTCTGTGGGTGTGTCCTAATTTGTGGGTGTGGCTTGGTGGTCATGTGACTGGCTGGGCATGGCTTGTATGTAAATATTATAAATATTTATATAAATATTGATTTTTTTTATTAAAAAAGAGCAACTTTTACCCAAAATCAGCCAAAGCAGGCAGGCAGATTGTGTTGCTCACAGAAACACAGATTCATTCAGAAATCTATCTATCTGCCATCAGCTAGCTCAGTCTGTCACATAAAATTTGCTTGCCGTGAGTCTGCACTGAATAATAGAAACTTCAGTCCTAAGGGAGGATCGGCTGTGCTTAAAAGCAGAGCCAAAGATCTCAAGTCTAGCTAGAAAGCAAGAAATCCAACCATCTCCTGCTTCCTATCTAATCTAAATCTCCTGGCACAGCAGAACAGCTGATGGTCGAAAAAAGGAAAAACAGAAATTTAGCAGGCAAGTTTACCGGGTAAGGAGTGAGTCGGTGGGCAGGGTTCCCGCACGGGCCATGTGGGCTTCTGCGCAGCCTGGTTTAATTGCTTTGGGGGAGTGCTCTGGGGGTGAGATTTCTCTGTGGCCCACCAAAATTTTCTCATGGCCCACCAGTGGGCCGCGGCCCACCGGTTGGTGACCGCTGCTTTAGAGAATAGATTGACACCCCTTGCCTTCTCTGTAATAGCCTCTTAAATACTGGAACACTGCTATCATGTCACCCCGTTCCTTTTTTTTAATTTAATGTAATACCAGAGACAGGATTTACATGTTAGGTTGTAATGGTTAATTTTTCTCCTATTTTTTCCTTGATCATCTCTTTCTGTCTTTCTAATATTCTATAAAATACCGTGGTGCTTTTCATTCCTGAAAGTTTTTATTTTCAGCGGAAAAAATATTTTTAAGAGTCGGTTAAGGAGAAGATTGTAAATCTTCAAAACATTCCTTGCAGGCTACTCTTCACAGGCATGGAAAGGAATGTTTTGGATGTTCAGAGCAGAAAGTCTTACATAGTTTAATTTGGTTGTTCTAGTATTTCTTCTGCTTTCTTTATATGACTGATACCACTTTTCTATCTAAAAGCACATTGTGACCAGAAGAGTGGCTTTAATATTAAATACTAGTAATAAATTAATTTATTTCCTGCTATAAATAAAGAGGTTGCCAGACACACAGTATGCCTTAACAACACATGATTATAACAGTGATGGCTAACCTTTCTGTCATTGCGTGTCAAAAGTGGGCGCACACGTGCCTGCACCCATAACACAATGCGTGCGCGACTCCCCGTGCCCCTGCACATGCACACGTGACCCCCCACGTTCTCCTTGTGCTTCTATGCATGTGCTCATGACCCCCCCCCACGCTCGCCCATGCCCATGTGCACGCAACTGCACTGTGCGCCCCCACGCATGCACGGCAGATACCCAACAATTATCTGGAGGGAGGCGCGTGCGCATGCTCAGTGGACCTGATCTGGGTGATGGCTCGTGTGCTGGCAGAGATGGCATGCCATAGGTTCACCATTGTTATGATATGTACAGAATAACCCTTGAGTAACAAGGATATGCACATGGAAATGTTTATGAAAGTAGTTATGAATAATTATTCAGCCACAGCTACACTGAATTGAGTTAAAATTTACTTTAAGAAATAGCATAGTCCAATAAACTGTCCAGGTTGTATATGTTTCACAGTCCAAAGAATATCCAATTACAAAGTCTTCTTACCAGTTGCCTTTGTCATTTACAGTAAACAAAGATATCAAAGTATAAACACAGCATAAATACAACAGAGAACCTTAGGTAGCAACAGAATGTCAGAGAGACAGAATGTCAGAGAGAACAAGCTATGATCTCTAGCTCCCTGTTATGGTAATTCGCAATATAATCAACCAATTGGAATATAGTATAAATCAATACAGTGATTTTCTCTTAAAGCTACAAGCATACATTGTTGGTTTATATATTGCCAACCCAACTAATTGGTGGACAGATTCCTAACAACCGTCACGGACCTAGTGGATTATGGAGAATCAACACCTCTGATCTTTCCTGTCACTTTCTAGCTTGTTCCTTTTCTCTCCTTAACAGTCTTTATGTGTGTATTTCTGGGAGTCTGGTACATGGGTAACGCCACTCCCCAAGCTAAGCAGAAAGATTACATGACACAATTTTAAGGAAACATTTAAACTTAACATGCTTCCATTTTTGAATTTTGATAGTAGAATAATGATCAGTGTCCTTCAGTAAAAAGGGATTATTTTGATGAACTGAATTCCATAAGGCTGTAATTGACCAGTCATCTAAGTATAATTACTTATTGCAAAATAACAGCGGATTTAAAAAAAAATGACAGGGAGGTCTGAAGAGAATTAACATTCCAAAATGTTATGCTTTTGGTGATTACACAAGATGTCTCATTCTGATGCATGTATATTTTGGAAAACATATGTAGACTGGCAGGAATGTAAACTGTTAAGGCTAATTTAATCGTCATAATATCAATAAAAATGGGCTTTGGTTAGTAAGAAATACCTTAACAACTTCATATATTCAGACCCCTCAGGTTTGGAAAAAAACACCATTAATAATGGACTAGAACATCTGGAATAGATTTTTATTTTAGAACAAGGGTGGATTATCTTTCAGTAATGTGGATTGAAACTCAACTTTCTCAACTTTCCAGTAGGCTGCTATTTGCAGATGATGTGATGTCTGGAAGGATCAAGACAAAAGCTTTTTGGATATGAGTGGAGGTAGACATTAAGAGTTGGGAATGGGATGTGTCGCAGAAAAAAAACTATTACACCAAATATTCTCTATACAGAGAGTCCTCACCTTATGACCACAGTTGAGTCCCAAATTTATGTTGTTAAGTGAGAAACTTATTAAGTATTCTGACCAAGGCTTCCCGAGACATTAACAAACACACCTTAGTCTCAAAATTTTTTTATTTTATTTCAACGGCTGTCAATTATAGTCATTCACAGCCCATAATGAGTCTCATACAGTTTGTAAATAGTCCCACAGAAATCTGCTGAAGTCCTTCGGGATAAGTCTGATAAGCACAGACCTTTATCTTTCTTGAAATGCTCCCAACGACTAAATTGCCAATTAATTGTACAAGGCCAAACGGAGCACAAATTCAACACGGAGCTTCAGGTTTCAAACTGACCAGTACGAACAAAGTTGCTTCCTGCAAAGGCTCCTGTCCCTTTGCTCCTCCTTTATGTCTTTTGGGAGAGCCAATCACCTCCAAGCCTCACCCCCAAGTCACTCCTTTTGTCTTAACTGTTCTTGCCTTCTGTCAGCTCTGCGCATGCACACACTGCTAACAGGTTCCCCCTGTTCCTCTGCCTTGCTGCTGTCAGATTCTGGAGGCTCCGGAGTCAGCACATAACTCTCAGATGGCCCTGACCCCATCTCTGTGTCGGATGCAGAATCCTTGTCCGAGTCTTCCCCAGACTCCTGGACTGGCCCATGTTCCTCCCTACTGTCCGACTCTGCTGCCATCTCCGCAGGCTGCTGGCGGACCACAACATCGAGTTTTGCCTCATTTTATGACTTTTCTCATCACATTTGTAAAGTGAATCACTGCAGTTATTAAATTAGTAACACGGTTGTTAAGTGAATCTGATTTCCCCATTGACTTCGCTTCTCAGAAGGTCGCAAATGACCATGGGATACAGCAACGTTCATAAGTGTGAGTCAGTCGCCAAGCACCCGCCGGTAAATCAAGTAAGCATGGGGACGCTGCAACAGTCCTAAGTGCGAAAAATGGTCATAAATCGCTTTTTTTCAGTGCCATTGTAATGTTGAACGGTCACCAAATGAACCGTTGTACATCGAGGACCACCTGTGGTAAAAATCATGCGCAAGGGTGCAGCAGATTAGAGAATGTTCTGCAGCAATGTCTATTCAGAATGTCAGAAGATGAAACAGGGTCAGTAATTTTGAACTAAATCTTTCACGCTGTATTTCAGCGAATTTTAGAAATTATGAAAAGATTTCCGCCTTTTTTTTTATCAATCTGCTCTTAAAATTGCACTGCATTATATCTTCATGGCCAGGGGAGAACATTGTTTTATTGCTGTTTGCAGCTGGTCCATTTATAAGGCAACAATACCAATTAACATTTAATTAGAGTTGAAAGACCAACAAAATAAAATTGTCTTTCCAAATGCTGTGAGGGAGGGAACTTCACGAAACTCTGGAAGTAATAGTAATATTACTTTAATGTATCAATGGAAAAATAAAATACAAAGTTTCCAGGTAAAATTCAGACTATAGATGGAGATAGATAGATAGATAGATAGATAGATAGATAGATAGATAGATAGA